CTCTTTGAAGTACTTTATGTTGGTTGAATATATGAATCTGAGATTGTGTGATGCATATCGTATAATCATGCCCACAAATACTTGAGGTGACAATGGAGTATCTATGTGACATTAGGGCTTTGGTTGATTTGTGTCTTAAGGTGTTATTCTAGTATGAACTCTATGATAGATTGAACGGAAAGAATAGCTTCATGTTATTTTACTACGGACTCTTGAATAGATAGATCAAAAAGGATAACTTTGAGGTGGTTTCGTACCCTACCATAATCTCTTCGTTTGTTCTCCGCTATTAGTGGCTTTGGAGTGACTCTTTGTTGCATGTTGAGGGATTGTTATATGATCTATCTATGTTATTATTGTTGAGAGAACTTGCACTAGTGAAAGTATGAACCTTAGGCCTTGTTTCCTACCATTGCAATACCGTCTATGCTCACTTTTATCGTTTGGTACCTTGCTGTTTTTATAATTTCAGATTACAAATACCTTTATCTACTATCCATATTGCACTTGTATCACCATCTCTTCGCCGAACTAGTGCACCTATACAATTTGCCATTGTATTGGGTGTGTTGGGGACACAAGAGACTCTTTGTTATTTGGTTGCATGGTTGTTTGAGAGAGACCATCTTCATCCTACGCCTCCCACGGATTGATAAACCTTAGGTCATCCACTTGAGGGAAATTTGCTACTGTCCTACAAACCTCTGCACTTGGAGGCCCAACAACGTCTACAAGAAGAAGGTTGTGTAGTAGACATCATTAGTCCTCACTTTTCGACCCTTTTGGTCATTTGATGACAAAGGGGGAGAAATTTGAGTTAGTCTTCAAGCAGGTCTATCTATATGGGCGTTTTTTTGTTATGTTACAACTCTTGCTCTTCTGAAGCTTTTGTTGATTGAGTTGTAAACTTAAGTTCAATGGTGACCTGATACTTTTGCTCTGTTTTTCTGCATGCTATTTCCTCGTTAATGTTATGCATGCATGCTGAATCACATCAGTCACCATATTTTATCATGCATTTCAAATTCTTCATTTCATATGTTAAATGCGTGTATGAATTACAAGATATAGGGGGAGATCTCCATGATTCTACTCTTCAAGTGTGCATTGCTTCAAAAGCAAATTCCTCACTATGCACATCTTTAGGGGGAGTTCTTCTATATCTTGCAATCAAATTCCTCAATATTGAGTACTTTCAATTCATATGTTTATCCCCGTTGAAAACTTAACCAATATTGTCATCAATCACCAAAAAGGGGGAGATTGTAAGTGCATCTAGTGCCCCTTAGTGATTTTGGTGTATTGAAGACTTATAGGTTAAGGGACTAATATGTTTGTGAGTGTACACAGGCTCTATAAGTCGATGAGGAGTTTGATATTTATAGTGAAAGTCGACCCCTAAAAATGATGTCTTCGGCTGAAGACTTTGGTTCTCCTGAAGACTTTGAAAGTGAAGAAATTGGTGTGACCTTGAAGACTTGGATATTCATGCGAGGAATATGGAGCATGAATACTTTTGTTTTCGTAGTTTCATTTTCTCTTTCTTGAGTCATAGGAAACACCGTACTGTTAAAGGGGGTCGAGGTAATACTAAGGAAACTGATTTCCATGTGATGCTCATCTCAAAATCCTACACCTACCCAATCCTTCGAGTGAAACCATTGTAAATCTCATATCAGTTCAGTCAATTTCTTCACTGACAGAGACGAAGATCTTCTGGTCTCTAAGGAATTTGTTCTGACTGAGGAGTTAGGAATTCGCCAGTGCAGATTGCCTACAGAGTGAGGAACATGATAGCCCTGAGGATTTCGAACCTCAAAATATCCGACCGTTGCTGAGCCGCACACCAGCTGTCCCAAAACTATCTACCACCTAATGGTCATATCAGCCAAGGGCATTTATGTCTTATCATGTCGGGCTGCTTCCTAGGCTATAAATAGCTGCCCCTTACATCCACTAGCTGGTTAGCTGCTCCGAGAGAAACTGACACTTGTCATTTGAGAGCATCCCATCCTCCGAGGACTTTGAGTGAAAATCATCAAGTGAGGAAATACCCAAATCCCAAACCCAAACCTACAAACCCCAAAGTGATTGAGTATCACTGAAGAGATTGTTCCTGTGTGGAACCGACGCTTGTTACCTTTGAGGACTGTGTATCCTCCAGACGATTAGACGTCATGGTCTGAGCATCCAAGAGGAATTGTGGATTGCCGAGTGACCAAGTCTGTGAAGGTTTGGAAGTCACCTATGAAGACTTACCACTACTGTTGGGCGAGATTTGCGTGATCTTAGCTCAAGGAGAATACAGTGAGGACTGTGTGTCCTCGAGTTTAAATACTCAGCCGCTCCAACCAGACGTACAACTGTCACAGCAGTTGGAACTGGTCGACCAAATCATTGTCTTCACCAAGCCTACTGGTTCTATTTCCTCAACCCTTTCATTTCCTCAATTATGTGTTGATGAACCTGATCATTACTGTTTGAAGACTTTGACTGAAGACTTTCTCTATTTCCTCAATCCTATTTCTTCAGCCAGTTTGTCTTCATCCTGTTATCATGTGTTTACACTTTCTGTACTCTGTGTTTTGTCTTTCATTTCATCATGAAGACTACGCTGTTGCTCTGCTATGCTTATACATGAGTACTTATTCCGCTGCAAGTAGTTCTTCACTTAGGAATTTCCTCACCCTGAAATTCCTCAGTGAAGAATTCATAAAAATCGCCTATTCACCCCCCCCCCTCTAGTCGACGTAACGCACTTTCACTTATCCATGACAACCATTTTTCATTGAACCCCATATGTTTCATGATGTTGATCATTGCTTCATGTTTGATTATGTCAAAGGCTTTTGCAAAGTCCAACTTTAGGAGAACTATCTGTCGCTTGGAAGGTTGGCACTGATGAATATATTGGAATGTCCAAGCCAGGTAGTCTTGGATTGAACGCCCTCTGATGAAACCATATTGGTTGCAATGTATAGTTCACAAGATAACCTTTTGTAATCGGTTGGCAAGGAGCTTTGTGATGAGCTTGAGGCAGCAGTTGAGCAGAGTAACCGGACGGTAATCATTGACTGTGGTGGGGGGTCCATTCTTGGGAATTAGAGTGATTAAGCCATCATTTATGCTTTGTAGATTAAGATCGCCGACATGGAATTGGGAGCAAAGTGTATAGAAGTCCTCTTTGATGATTTGCCAACAAGCCTTGAGAAACAACCCACTGAAACCATCTGGGCCTGGTGCACGATCAGCAGGCATGTCTTTGACTACTAGGTCAATCTCTTCCTTGGTGAATGGAAGTGTGAGGTGATCCAGGTTCTCAGTCGGCCGAATTAGGGAAGGAAGATCAAACCGCATCTGTGTTGGGTTGGAAGTGCCAAGTCTTTCAGTGTATGCATGGAATATGAGGGCTTCTTTGCCCGTATGATCCTCCACAATCAGTCCCTCTGGTGTTTGAAGGATAGCAACATTGTTTTTCCTGTAATGTTTTGTTGCAACTGCTTGGAAGAATTTAGTGTTCTCGTCTCCGAACTTAACCCAACGAATGGTGGATCTCTTCTTCCAATACTGCTTCTGATAGTCCAATAATCTCAGGAGGTTTTTTTGATGATCTTACGAAAGTTGCATTCGGGTATAGTGAGAGGTCTTAGGTTTTCTAGATCATCCAACTCAGTGAGGGTTTTGTTTGTATTTTCAATTGCCATTGGCCTGGCCCAGAGCAAGGTCAGGTTCCTGTGGGTGCTCCGCGACGCCTGTGCGGCTGTGCCGGCGTGCATGATTTGATCCGTGGAAGCGACTGTGCGATCGTCCCGTGGTGTGACTAGCTCAAGGTGTTGTGCCATCCTTCAGTTGGTGGGTTCATCACCCACTGCGGAATGAACTCGACGCTGGAGGCGCTGTACGCCGGCGTGCCGATGCTGACTCTGCCGATAGCTTTCGACCAGCCGATCAATGGATCATTGTCGATGAGTGGAAGGTTGGGTACAACCTCAAGGAGAAGGTCCGGGGCGATGGCGTCATCGGAAGAGATGACATTGCTGAAGGGTGTTAAGAGGGTCATGAATTGTGATGACGGTGAGGGCTCGAGGAGGAGAGCGTCGCTTATGAAAGAGGCTTCTCGCGCCACGGTCGAAGTGGGTGGTTCATCGGACAGCGATATCACGTCTTTCATCAATTACATTTTGCGGCTCAATAACTGAAATGTCGTTAGAGATTGCTAAATATATCTTCATTTGAGCAATGTATTTGAATTCGATTAGTATGTTGTTCATTTAGCATTTGAATTCGATTGACTAGCTGGGAATGAACTCAATTTTCTGCTAGAAAGGTTGAGGGAAAAGAAGAATCAGTCCCTTTAAATGTAAATTTTCTCTTTGTTTATTGTTTTCCTGAGCTTCCTTTTCTGCACTGTGTGGTATATTTGTGCTTCTCCTTTCCTCTGAATTATAACACCTCCCCTGTTGTTTCTTATTGCCCAGACAAAATTTCAGTCCAATACCACCAAAGGAAGCACACGGAAAATTTCAGTCCAAACGAAGAGAAAATTTTCAGCTATGTTCTAATTTATACAAGTACAGAAAGTAAGTAGTGCCAAGTGAGAACTATCAAAGGTGGTGACAAGTCCAAACAGTTTTTTTCTAGCTTTCAAGATATGCTCAGATGGGCTGTTGACATGGGGAAACAGTTTTTCCTTCGAAAAAAAAGAACTGGATAACTGTAACAAACACAAACTGAAACAAAGACCACCTGTGAGAACAGGTGTTCAGTAACATGGCTCTGAATTCGATTCAAACTAGAATGAATTGTATTCGTATCAAATAGCAGAACATGCAGTAAGTAAACCCAGCTCTCTTGATTCGAAAGCCAAGCAAGTCGCTAAACAAATATAGTTGTTGTTTACACCCTGGTGTATCAGATCAGATAGTAGCAGAACACACAGTAACAGTAAGTAAACCAAGCTTTCAAGATCGAAAGCCGAGCACAGCAAATCCTAAAGCAAACTAGGCCAGACGTTGAGGAGCTGCGACTGCCGGAGGGCGCAGAGACACGCGCCCATACTGCTCAGAGGAGTACTTCTTGTAGATGGCCTTGAGCTTGCACTCCGGAGCAGCCGCGTGCGCCATGACGAGCACCTTGGCAGGCTCCCTGAAATCAACAAACAGATAGATTTCCCATGAATTTCAGCTCATTCAGCCAAGTTCATCTTCATCAGGTAGACGGACAAGTGAATGAATGGCTTACAGGAGCTGGGGTTCAGCGAATCCGGTGTGGTGCTTGAGGGTTTCCGTCCAGATGGGGCTTCTTTTCAGCGTGCACCGAGCGGCGTACACGGCAAACGCCGCCACCAGTGAGGGGCGCACCGTGACCAGCCCGTACTCCATGAGCGCCATCTCGGCGAAGAAGAAGATCATATGCTCAAGCTGCGTTCAATAACAACAATAGGAGGAAACGAAATTCAGCAAATGTTCAAGCTACGTTCAGCGACAAGATCATATGTTCCATGGCACATCTATCTGACATGCAACTTCAGATATCTGAACCAAAGTCCTATGCGTTTTTACCTCCTTGTCGCTTCCGGCGGCCTTGGCGAATCGCACCAGGAAGACGTACGGGGTGGGCACGGTGAGGTTCCACGCCATGCTGTTGAGTATGTTCTTCTCCATGGACAGGATCTGCTGCCTCGAGTACGAGTAGTCGGCTATGGATATGAAATCGTCTACCTGCAAACACAAAGCAAACCGCCACTTGAGATTCAGAGTTCCTTCACAGACACGAGCCGATTGAGGCAGCTACTCGAACGAACAGAACAGGTGATCTATGGATGCAAAGGGGATGAGAGAAAGTGCTTGGGTACCTCTGGGGCCCAAATCTCCTCATACTTGCAGGAGATGAGCATGGCCGCCATGCCGACGAGCTGCAGCTCCCGCCGAGGCACCGCCTGTAAGGAGAGGAACCTGTCGATGACGTACATTGTTAAGAACATGCTCTCGGGCATGAGCTCGAACTTATGGGTCACTTCAACTAGCCAATCTATCAGGATTGCCCTCATCTTGGGGTTGATCTCGGGCTGGCTGCCCATGTAATCGATTGGCCGGCACTCGTGCTGCAACACAGATTGGTGAACATCGTCAGAGCAGTTGCTTGCGGTGTGTCACTTGAGCAGACAATTGCTGAAGAGGGAGGTTTGTGGTTACCTGTGCCTCCTTGTAGTATCTGTAGATGTCGTCGATGTAGTCGACGACGGCGAGCTCGTTGTCGCCGTCGAGCTTGTCGATATCATCGATTGAGGCCTCCTGCAATTCACAAGTACACGCGAGCAGAGTTAAGGCACCTTGGGGGTGAGCAGTAAGAACAGAAAGAGGTGCTGGTTGGATGGCCCAGGTCGCTCACCTTGGAACGATGGTTGAGCACGGTCGTGAGGGTGTGGACGACCTTCTTCCTGGGGGCAGAGCAACCGGCGGCAACCTCTGATGGCTTCCTGTTTTCGCCGGGGCCGGTGACGATCTTGGCGGCCGGCTTAGGGCGAGGGGCGGCGGGCTTGAGCTTGACAGGGACTTTCTTGGCCACCGGCTTCAGGCCGGCCCGCTCTGCTGGAGGAACAGCTACGCCGTTCTGCAAACCACAACGGCGATTTAGATTAGAAATCCATCATCAAGAAATTGCTTTCGAACATCGGAAAGGGGGCTCGTGTCTGTCTGTACCTTAGATGGATCGGCCTGGGCCTTCCTCAAGAGCTGGGCACCGAAGCTCCTGGTAATTGGGCGATTGATCTTGCTGTTGCAGCGAACAAGACAGGATTCAGATCAGGACAAAGAACGGAAGAACGAAAAAACAGGGCGGGATCCGATCCTTGCGCTGATAGATTTTCTTACCCGTCGAGGACGTGGGCGTGGGCGTGGACGACGTTGCCGATGTCCCCGAGCACCCGCCTGTTCCCTCCCGCCCCGGGGCGGCCGCCGGCGGCGGCGGCGTCCTTCTGCTGCCCTGCCGGTACTGCGGCACCTGAACATGACGAAAGAGAAACATGAGTAAAGATCAAGGAACTGCTTCTTTGACGCACGGGTCAGGCACGAAACGCGCTCGAATCAGACTAGAAATCAAGAACTCGAGAACTAAAAGTCCGATCTTGGTGAATCAGACTCGTAAGACGGAACAGATCAAGAACTCGAACAAAACAAGCCGCAAGAAACCCAACGGCGCAGGCAGGTCCAAATCGACAAATCGAGAACCCCTAGAGGCTAGAGCGGTCGTTCCCCGCGTCGCGCGGCGAGAAAGAGAGATCCGGCGGGAGGGAGGGCGGGCGGGGCTCACCTCTGTTGGCCGGCTGCGGAGCGGCAGCCGCGTGCTGGTCTTGCCTGGACCCCATGGGGATTTGCTGTTCCAGCTCCGTTCTCTCCGGGCTCCGGCGAGGTGCTTCCGGCGAGCTCTTGAACAGAAGAACAGGGCAAGAGCGGGCAGCGGACCTCTCTCTCCGATGTCTCTCTCCTCCTACCGCTGTGAGCCGTTGGGGGCGGACGGAAGAGACCTGAAGTTTTATAGAAGCGGGCGGCCGCGGTTGAGGCGGCGGGGGGCACAAAGTAGCCGTTGGGGGTTCTTTGGTTCTTGGGAAAGGAAAGTTTCCGGCTGCGAGTTTCTTCGGAATCTGGGATTGTCACGTCTCCTGTGTGTGTGGAACCCCGGAACGTAATAACGGAAATACCATCTGGCGACATTTCGCCACATGGCCAACCCTAGTCCCAAACCTGGGCATGGGCAGCCCGGCCCGAAGCCCGACGTCCGAGCCAGGCACGGGCCTCACTTGCCAGCCCGAAGCCCGGTAAAATCCTGACAAAAGAGGTATAACTTAGGCTACCAACGCTTTCATCGTGGTTGCACGTATCTTGACGCATGCGAGGGTGCTTGCCACCCGGCTGCAGAGGAGGGTTGTGAACATTTTGGGTTAGAATGCTATATGTGTTACAGATTTATAGTATAAATTTAAATTTGTTGTAAATTTGCTTTTTCATCTGAAAAAATCCCAAAATCTCCCCCACCCCACCCCCCCTCAAAAAAAACATTTTTTGTAAGAAAAAAAGCCCTATTGCTAGAGAGGGGCTTTTCCCAAACTTGCCATGTGCTGCGCCCGCTACAGTACAACTCGCAAACAAGCGCATACCCCCCTCTTCGCTGGGCCGGTCCAGCTAGCTTTTTCTTCTCTATTTTTTCAAAACGCAAAAACAGTTTCCTAGAGTTGTGATCCGATCCAGGGACGTCCTGGTTAACTGTGAGCTGCGATAACAACCCCGCCATCCCATTCTAGACGTGCTACTTTCATCTTTGTATATCTTTACTTCATTCATTTATTGTCTTCTGTTTTTTGTTTTCTGTATTTCGTTTTTATTTTTTATTTTTCTTCCTCCTGGGTTCGATGAAATTTTTATTCAAAATCGATGAACTTTTATCAATTTCGATGAACTATTTCAAATTCAATGGACTTTTTTCAAATTTTATAAACTTTTTTTTTCTAATTCGATGAACTTTTTTTCATATTTGCTGAACTTTTTTTCAAGATTCGTGAACTTTTTTCAAAATTGATGAAAATTTTCAAAATTGATGAACTTTTCCAAATTTGATGAACTTTTTTCAAATTTGTTTTTTTAAGTCAACATTGTCAACTACAAAGCAGTCACAATTTTAATTTGTGAACTTTTTTCAAAATGAATGAAATTTTTTTCATATCTATTGAACTTTTTTGATTTCCCAATTTTTTTCAAAACCGATGAACTTTTTCATTTTTTGTACGAACCTTTTAAATATATGAACTTTGTTCAAGTTCACGTTTTTCATTGTGAATTTTGTTTTCATTTTTATTATAAAATAACACTATACTAGACTGGATATTATCCTACATATTAATGTTATTCTAATACGAGGGTCAAATAAAGTTTTGTCCTTGAAATGGACAAAGAGATGAGTTGGCATAGTGGTTCTTGTCTTGGGTGCATAAGTTTGCAGGCACCGAATCATGCTTCTCCCACAATTCCATCTAGTTTTTAGCCTTACACAGGATAAGCATTTTTCTCCTCGTCACGTTGACTGCGCAGGCCCGCTCCGCTGGTGTGCGGGCGCCACTAGCGCTAACCGGCGCAGAGGGCACCGAAGAGGAGGACTCTATATTTAGGATGGTAATTTCTAGGTCTTTTTTGCAATGCCCCATGGCACTTTTTTATTAAAAGCATGGCATTTTAATAATTAGTAAGACGCCATTTTTATAATTAATAGGATGATAGTCTTAAGAGAAATTCATTTTTATTACTAGTAACATGGCATTTTTTTATTGTCAAAAGGATGGCAGTTTTATGATTAAGAACATGTCCTTTTTTATTATCAATAACATGGCATTTATATTATTAGGAGGATGACATTTTTAATTAACAGGTTTGATGTTTTATTACTGAGAGCCTGCCATTTTTATATTGTTGGCTTGGCATTTTTGTTATCACGAGATGAGCATCTATTATTAGTTAGTAAGAGGATGACATTTTTTTGGCATGTCAATTTTATTTTTCCACTCACATCGCCATCTTTATGAATTTTTGTACAATGCACATTTTTGTTTCTGGTCCTTCGCAAAAATAAAGAGAAAAATGTTGCCCAAAACATGAAAAAAAATTCACTATGAAAACCTATCCATGGAAGAATTCATAATTTTTTAAGGTCACACGACACATTTCTTTAATCATACCATTTTTATAAATTTATAAGTTAACAAGGCATTTTATAAAGTAGTGTGGCAATTTCCAAAAAAAAATTCCATATTCATTTATGGTTTTCTCTGTTTTTATTACAAAAATATGTATTTGTTTGCGGGGGATATGCATTTTTTGTTTGTGGCACTTTTTTTTAAAGAATAGTAAGTTGTGCATCTCGGCCAATAGGATTGAGGGGTGGGTGATTCCTTCGCTGGGAGCAGCTCCTCCTAGACACTAAATTTGTTTGGCCACCCCTCCTCCATGTCCATTGATCACCAGTTATATGGGTCCTAGTAACAATAGAAGGGGAATTTTATCTGGCTGACGTCAGATTTTTGAGGTTTCCCGACAAACGCCCTTGTTACCGTCAGATCAATTTATACTAATCTTAAAGCAAAGGGAGAGACACATCATCGAGCAGTACTCAGATGGCACAACGAACACCCAGGCCCGACTGTATCCCCTTCCCTCATCTTCTTTTCTCTCTCACCCACGCTCACATTACCCCTCACTCCACCCACTTGACCCGCCTGATTTCTATGGCGAGGCAGTCTGCACCATCGTCTAGGTGGGCTGCGGCGGAGTCGAGGTGAGCGTGGCGGAGATGAGTTGGGTGGCAGTGCAGATGAGGCGGCTTGTGCCGCTACTGCCTCCATCAAGAACCTCGCTGGATCCATTAATATTCTTGGCGACCAGTGGACAGTGTGCTCTCTCTCTTCTACACAGCGTGGAGAGGTAGGATGGACTGGTCATCGGCGAGGTAGGTAGGGACCGGTGGTGGTGGTCCGACATGGTGGTGATGACCAGCGGGCATTTCTGTTGTGGTGGACCTTGAGCAACTAGCATGTCTTTGAGCGCCGAGCGGGATGTGCGCCTCGGTGAGCCACCGTATTTCTTCGAGCTATGCATCCAAGAGCACCTCGTCAAGACCAGAGGTAGCCATGTCCCCGACAGCAGCGTCATTCAATCGCTTGTCAGCAGTGTAAAATGCACAAAACCACCACATTTGTATCATGGTTAGCATAAAACCACCACTTTACGATTCATGACATTTTGCACCAAACAGAATTTCTGACAATGGCAAAAGATACTGAAGTATTTTCTGAGCATGTTTTGATGTGGTTGATCCCTCGTGGGCCGACAGCGGTGATGGCGCGACATTAATGACCATTGACTCTTCTGTCCGAAGCGATTGGGCCGAACACGAGTGTTCCCTCGATCGCTCCCCTCTGACTCTCTCCTGGGGCATGGCGGCAATAGGTTTCAGATCCATCATCGACGACGCAGTGGGCATAGAGCATGAAGCACAGATGGCTGGCATGGCAGGGGGCACCCACGGTGAGGGGGGAGATTCATGTGGCAATAGCATATTCCATTCATCGTCGCCAGTGCTGGTGGCGGCAGATGTCCCCGCGGGGTGGTGGTCGAGCCACCAAATGCAAATGTGCCACCACATGAGTGATACGTCTCCAACGTATCTATAATTTTTGATTGTTCCATGCTATTATATTGTCTGTTTTGGATGTTTAATATGCATTTATATGCTATTTTATATTATTTTTGGGACTAACCTATTAACCGAGAGCCTAGTGCCGGTTTCTGTTTTTTTGCCTGTTTTAGAGTTTTGCAGAAAATGAATACCAAACGGAGTCCAAATGGAATGAAACTTTCGCGATGATCTTTCTTGGACCAGAAGCAAATAAGGAGACTTGGAGATGAAGTCAGAGACTCAACGAGGCGACCACGAGGGGGGAGGGCACACCCAGGGGGGTAGGGCATGTCCCCTACCTCATGGGCCCCTCTGTTGGGGATATAACTATTAGGCATGACCCGCCCAGCAGGGGCCGGGTCACACCTATGACGAAGCCCACTGAAGACACTTGAGGATGGTGGCTCACTTAAAGGCCCAAAGCCCAGAGGCGACTTTAGGCCTGTAGAGATAAACCGCCATGTATGTATAACTTGTATTGTAAGACAGGAATAGAGAGAGACCGAGCCGGACATTGTTTATAAACCGGCCGGGACTCTGTGAGCCGCTGGGCGTCGACCTCTGTATATAAAGGGACGACCCGGCGGCGGTTCAGGGTAAGAAACATCAGATCAAGAACTAGGTCAAGCGGATCCGCTCCCTGGTTATCCAGTCATAAGCAATCCCACTCAAAACTAGATTTTACCTTCACCGCAAGGGGCCGAACCAGTATAAACCGTGTGTCCTTTGTCCCGTTTAACCCCTTTAAACTTCCTAGTTGCGATGGCTCCATGACTAAGTCCTTACGCTAGGACATCTGATGTGACAATTCCACGACAGTTGGCGCCCACCGTGGGGCCAGTGCACGATGGATTTGAGTTCTTGAAGGGCAGCTTCAAAGAGCTCAAGGGATATGATGTGGGCCGGATGACCAAGAGTCGTCGCGGCAAGCTCTACATCTACGATGCAGGCTGGGGCTGAAGGAAATATGCCCTAGAGGCAATAATAAAGTTATTATTATTTCCTTATATCATGATAAATGTTTATTATTCATGCTAGAATTGTATTAACCGGAAATATAATACATGTGTGAATACATAGACAAGCATAGTGTCACTAGTATGCCTCTACTTGACTAGCTCGTTTATCAAAGATGGTTATGTTTCC